GGGTTGTCCTCCGGGACTCCCCTTCCTCACCCTCCTCCTCACCCTCCCTGGTGGGACCAGGCCTGAACAGGAAGTCGGACAACCCTCTCACAATCCAGGACTCCTCACTCCTTACCACCCGCGGTCCCCACAACTGCCCTCACCTGCAGGCCTGATCACCCACAACTGCACTCCCCTGCAGGCCGTCTTTGACCACACGGGGGCTGCCATCTTGTGTGTTGGAGTGATGGTCCATTTGCATATTACCGCTTTATTAGACAGAATTGTAATAAATAAAGCTGAAGTCAGAATCGGTGCCTTGGTGGTTATTCTGAGAGTGGCTCCTTCCAAATCCTGACGGAAGGACATTTTTCGGAGAGATCCATGGTTTTGTGTTGCCCTTCATCCAGAATGGTGGGAAGAAGAGCGCTGGTTTCCCAGGCTGTGTCATGGTCCCCGGGGAGCTGGCACACAGACACAGGCGAGTCTCCGAGACAGCAGCTCCCGGCCAAGGCCCAAGAAGCTGCATTTTCAGAGTACGTTTAAGGTGCACCGCATAGTGACCTCCACGCATTGAGAATCGCGCTTCTAACAAAGGTCTGCACCTGCTGGGTGGTTCTGCTGGAGGGTCAGTGACTGGTAACTTCTCACCTGGGACTGTAAGAGTTCCTTCCCGTGGTGTTGGCTTAATTTTGGGTCTGTGCACTTCTGGCTACTCACTCCCCACGTCACCAGAGCTTCCTCTTGCTCGAGGTGTGCATTCCACGTTCACGGAAGCAGAGGTGGCCCGGAGTACACGGGTTGCTTCTGAGCTCGAGCTAGCACCGGGGGTCGGTTGGATCCAGCCATTGGACAGGACTGGGCTGTGTGGCTTCAGCAGGGCCTGGGGGCATCCTTCCTGTCTCCTTGCCTGGGTGCCTCTAGAACGCAGCGGTATTGGATGTGGAGTTCCCCATCCCCTTGTGGCAGACTCCTGTGCAGTGAATTTTTAGTCTCAGGTGGAAATCCAGGCCTGCCTCCTGCACAGAGAAGAAGGCAAAGGTGAAGGTGGGAGGGGAGAACTCCTTTTTCCTGCCTAGAAACTGGAGGAAATGGGAGGCCAGGCGCTGAGCAGCCTGGAAGGGCAGAAATGACTCAGAATATGATTGTGAGAAGTCAGAGAATGTGACTGAGGGGAACACATCTGTTCTCTCTAGCCCTGTGCTAGGAGGTGCAAATTTTGTGCAAAAGAAACTTAACAGAGATTAGAAACTGGATTCACGTTGCTCCCCCCCCCCACCATGATCTTGGGGGCACGTTGCTTAACCCCAACACCTTAATTGTCTCATCTGTACACCTAATAGACTGTTATGAGATGAAAGCAGGCGACGTAGTATTCAAAAAGTATTAGCTGCTCTGGCCGGTTTGGCTCAGTGACTAGAGCATTGGCCCTCAGATCGAAGGGTCTCGGATTCGATTCCTGGTCAAGGGCACGTACCTCAATTGCATGTCACATCCCGCCCCCATTTGGGCAGTGTGCAGGAGGCAACCAGTCGATGTATCTTTCTCACATCGATGTTTTTCTCCCTTCCTTTCACTCTCTCAAAAAATTAATGGAAAAAATATCCTCGGGTGAGGATAAAAAATGTATTAGCTGGGGCTATTATTTCAGAGTTCAAGTTTGGAACTAAGAATGGGGTTAGTGGGAATCTAGTAGTAGAAAGTGGTCCCTAAGGGATGGGGTGGAGAGAAGAATGTTCAGAAGAAACTGAACAGAGAGTAACCATGGGAACTTGTGGGCAAAAAGGCCAGAAGGTAAACTGAGGGCAGAGCATGGAGGGCTTTCCCTGGCAGGTTAGAAAGTCTAACTTTGGTTTTGTCTGCAGTCTTGAGGCAAAGGTCAGAAGACAACCCACAGGGAGGCTCTTGTACCTGGTTATAGGTACAGTCTCCCCACCCCTGCACACTTTGTTTTCTTGAAAGTGGGCCAAGAGGTCGTCCCCCTCTTAGGGGTCCCCTTGAGCAGCTCTGAGTGCCTGATTGTGCAGGGCCTGCTCAGTGTGACACTCGCTGGCCCCGTTGGACCAAAGCTCATGTCAACAAGGGGGGAGGGTGACTTGCATGGGTGTCGCCCTATCCAAGGCATAGAGTGCACCCTAAGCCAAGAAACACATCCACTTCCTGGAACTCAGAGCCGTCATCGCAGCTGTCTTGGGCCTCAGAGCACTCGTGAGGCTGTCCTGGTTAGAGGAGATGGTTTTGTCCTGTGCTTGGCAGGCAGGGGAGAACAGGCAGTGCCATGCTGCGACATCGAGTCTGGCTTGGTTCTGTCCCAGCTAGCCAAGACGGGAAGAATGTTTCCTTTCTGCCTCAGCCCATCCTTCCGGAGATGTTCTTGCTGCTTGTTAAGCTCCGTAGCAGCTCACAGCATCTTAGTACCTGAGCTCCTCCTGAAACTCTTTTAGCCTTTCCTGGTTGGATGGGACTTCAACAAAACAAGCTCAGCACAGCAGCTCTCCCGGTTTGGTGTTTGGTGGTGTTGTGAAGTTCACTGTTATGTGTGTATGGGGCTGGGGGAGGGAGGGGGGCGTCTTCTGTCATCCCAGGCATCTAAACTTAGCCATCTTTCCTGGGGGCCTTGGGAAAGATTTTAGATTCCACCTTAAGAATCTGTAGGGTTTCTAGAAGCTGGATAGCTTTGTTTCTAGAGCATTTTTCATCTTTCCATCTCATTGCTATCTCTGGGACCTGGTTCTTTCTGGTTTTACATAGCATTGTCCCTTATCTCCTCAGGGGTGGGGGCTAGCCTTATCCCCCTCATCCTCACAGATGGAACTCTGCCATCTCCAAGTCATCCTGCTTCCACTAGACCTGGGCAAGGCCTGTGTGGGAATGCAAAGCCAGAAACTCAGCATCTTCCCTTTGGGGCAGGAGCCTCCCCAGCCTGCTAGTTGCATTTCCCCTACAGGCATCATCTAGGGCACAGCCTCCCTCACTGCTTTTTTTTTTTTTCCTTCCCCTTGAGGCAGTGTTGATAGAGGTAAGGGGTATCTTGAGTTTTCTTCCAAGAACTGTCCTGTACTTTTCCGCCCTCTGAGTTCTATGAATCCCTCCTGCCTGGTGGAAACCAGAGTAAACAGGGTAGTGACTCTTATTACTCAGCTTGGTTGCAAGACATTCTCAATATTCAAATCATTTACATCCAGAATCAGAGGATGGAAGGTGCAAGGTCAAATCTGTCAGGTTGGCCCGTTCCTCCCCTGAGTTCCCAGTGTGTGCTGAGAGGTTACAAGTATCTTTTTTAATTGAGGGGAAGGGCATATGTCCAAATTTTGAGACTCTTAGTTATATTTTGAAATTTTTTAATTCCAGAGACTTGTCTCTGTGTGTTTCTACATATAGTTTACTTATTTAGAGATTTTGATGGTTCCTAGAAAAAAGTATGGAGCCATTTCTCTCTATACTTTCTTCCTCATAAAAATGTGCCATTAATTAAAAACGAATAACAACAAGAAAACCTTGGTTGTTTTTTGTTGTTGTTTTTAGTGTTTAATTCTATCCTAGGCAGCTTTAAGTTTAGATGGGTGGGGATGATATAAAAGGATGTTTTGTTCCTATATTTCTGAAATCTCATGGGAATTTTAATAAAATTGACTTGATTCATAGTTTAAAGGAAGGTGGGTTATATATCAAGTGAAACCAACATTCTTCTTACTTATCCTGCAGAGCTATCTGGGATTCCTGGCCTTCCTGATACTGAACCTCCCCCCCCCCCAAAAAAAGGTTGAGTGTAAAGAATGTGCATGCTTCTGTAGGAGGGGCCAGAGTTGCATCAGATCCTCAAGGAGGGTTTCGCCTCTAAGAAACTTTGAGAATTGCAAGGGAACGAGTAAGGGTTCCGGTTCCCCTGGCTTGTTCAAAATGCAAAGAACTTTTCAAAAGAGAAAGGTTCAAAGTAAAAAGATGAGTAATTGAAGCAGTGAGGTGTAAAGAGAGAAACTGTTCACTGTGTCAGAAACCATGAGGAGCTGCTTCTAACAGAAAGGGCTGGGAGGCTTCCTCCCCGCCACCTGCGGGGCGGGCAGAGGTTTGCCACCTCAAGTGCTCAGTAACTCCATGCGGACAAAGTAAGAGTCAAGATGATAACTGGGCATTCACACGATGGGGCAGCCTCTCTGACTCCAACAGGGAATAAACACGAGAAAACATGCCAAGCAAGTATTTCTTGACCAGTTTTGTCTGTGTGGCCGTTTATTTTACTTCTTTAGTTTTTACTTCCCAGTTTTTCACTCTTCAGTTTAGCTATGGGATGCTGTTTTTCAAAGACTTAGAGAGTGTGGCTGAACGCCATAGCTCTGGGAAGTACTGCCTTCCTGTTTTCTCTCACTCTGTGGAGGGCCCAACATGGCTTTCTCCCCAGACACACTTTGGAGGCCTTTAGCCCCCAGAGCAGACATTCTCAAGCTCCTGAAGGGCCCATGCAATTTGAATAATTTGCTGCATTTACTTGACAGAAAATAAAAATATGCATTTGTTCCTATTTGAGCTGTCATGGACACTTCTCCCATCACTCCCGTTCTCTTACACTGAGGAACTGTTTAGTTCCATATTTTTCATTTTCTTCAGCTCTTCTTTTTTCCTCCCTGTTTCTGATAGCATTTAATCATGCCTCGCCCTTCTCTACCCTTTCAACTGGCCATCCATCAGCATTCACATGCCATTGAGATGCTCGAAGCTTCACCTGGAACTAGTGGTCCGAGCCATTCTCCGGTGATGCTGCCCGTGGCATGGCTGGGGCATGCTGTGGGAGCCTGTCTGTCCCAGGCACGCGTGATCCCAGTGGCTCTTGCTCAGAGGCTAATGGAGGATTATATGGAATCCACCCAGGAGCTGGAAGCTTGCTTACAAAGTGCAGGCAGGGGGTGGGAAATGTTTTGTTGTCTCTAATTTGTGACTCCTGGTGGTATTAAGTGGAGAAATAGAGAGATGGGACCATTTTTGGTGTTGACTCCCTTATAATGTCACCTTTTCTCATTTTGTAGGTTGTTCCCACTCTGCTCCAGAGGTGGTGGCTTTGAGGTGTGACCCTGCCCACATTTGGGCCCAGCCAGCACCAGCTCCTCAGTAAGGAGGGCCAGCTTGATAAGACAGAGAAAACAGGTTGGTTAAACTTTATTGACTTTCCTTGAGTCACAGTAACTTTGAATGTTGAGTCTTCCTTTCTCTCCCTCTCCCGCCCCACGTTCCCTTTGAGTTCCCTCCCCTTCTCCAGGTCCCCCAGAGGCTGTGATGCACAGCCAGGGTGAAATTGTAGCTGAATCACTACTTCTTGACCTGTTGGACCTGAGGTGTAGGATGAGAAGTCTCCAAAAGGGTGCCTAATGTTTGTCTCACAAGAAAAGCAGCACTTCATAAATCCCATCTCCTGTGTCTCCCTTCACACCCCCAAATTCAGACTGTGCTAAAAACGAATACCAGGCCCGGCTACCTGGCCATGTCAATGAAGATGAGGATTTGTTTTCATATCTGTGATTGGGAATTTCATCTGAGTTCCGAATCCTCTCTGATTCTAGTTGGAGGAGATTGTATTAGAATGGGACCAATAATTTCCTATTATTATTATTATTATTATTTGCAGTGGTGAGGATGATGTACAGGATGCTGTCAGGGAATAGAAATGGGGCAAAGGAGAGAATAAAAAATTAATACTATAAATATAAATAAAGAAAAATACGCTTTGTGAATGGACCTTTAACTTTTTTTATTATTATTGATTTCAGAGAGGAAGGGAGAAGGAGAGAGAGTAATATCAATGATGAGAGAAGAATCATTGATCAACTGCCTCCTGCACAGCCCACTCTGGAGATGGAGCCCACAACCTAGGCATATGCCCTGACAAGGAATTGAACTGTGACCTTCTGGTTCATAGATTGATGCTCAACCACTGAGCCATGCTGGCCGGGCTAAACTCTTAAACTTACCTTTCATTCCCAGAGATCAAGTATCAGTAAGTTTAGGTTAGTTAGTTTGAATTATTACTCTTATATAGTCTAGGGCAAGGGTGGGCAACCTTTTTGTGAGTGGGTGCCAAAACCAGCAAAATCTCTGACTCAAAAATTCTTCTGCGTGCCAACCCTAATTTTTTGAGAACATGTTACGCCTACTTGATATCTCTTAAGGTGTACGTATGTGAAGAAACTTGAAGAAATAATAAAATTCATTTGAGCGACAAAAACACAGTATATGATGATGAAAAATACACTTATTTTTTAATGTGTACATGTACACTGATAGTCCGACAGAAAACTTTATGACTCCATTTGATATTATCAGTGGGACTTTTGCTGCTGCATCACTGATGACAGTTATTTATTTATCTAAGATGCACCTACACTGAATTTTGTCTGAAAAATAAAAAAGTCCATATTAAGAAAAAAATTGTAAATGAAAGATTATAAGACAGGGTTTCACGTGCCAGCAAAAGTTACTGGCATGCCATATTTGGCACGCGTGCCAGGGGTTGCCCACCCCTGGTCTAGGGTCAGGCTGGGGTAGGTAGAATTGACTATATTGGCCTCTGTTTAAATTAGCACAGGGGTGAGCTCAGTGTTAAAGTAGATTTTCCCTATCATAGAACCAGGTTCTTTCCCTCTTTCGCACCATTGTCCCAATGGAGAGTTCAAGTATAAAAGCAAACTGGAATGAGACCTTGTGGTAGCTCCAGGGCTCATTTGGGTACCTCTGAAACAGCTCTTCAGAGTGCTCTGACTCTTCAAATGGTGTAGCTGAGAGTTTCCTTTTGTTAATTGCATCTTTAGGAAAGAGATAAGCAGTCTTTGTTTAAAATAAAATGCTATTTACTTACCTTTAAACCAGGAAAAGGAAGTAAATGTAGGTGATCTTGGTGTCATCAGTGGGTTACATCACACTTCATCCTAACAGAAGAAACCAATTTAGCAAGTGTCCTTGTCAGGACAAAATGGGAAACAACAAGTTTGCTTGACTTTTCTCCCTATGCTGGTTAGCTCTCTTGACTGTTGCTAGATATTCTATATTTAAGACACTTAGGAAGTTTGCAAGAATGTGTCTTTGATGTTATAGTGACTGTGAGAAAAATTCTTACTGGCAATTTCGCTCTGCTTAGTGAATGTATTTTTGTTAATTTTATATTGAATATTTCCCTCCTC